GTAGGTATGAAATCCCAATGAACCTCCAAGTAGACCCTAAACTCGAACCCTAAACCAAGCAGAGGGTAGCCTTACAACCCCAAAAGACCAGATTCTACACTACAGGACTGGTACCCTCACGCAGTTTAAGGTTTAGGGTTTTTGGTTACTTCAAGAATACTCCAGAGGGATCTGATTAAGATATACCTAAAGCCATATTCTATCTACTTAAGGGGGACTGTACTTATGGTGGGAGCAAGATTGTTTGGTGGTTCAGGGATTCAGGGTTTTAATGGCTTGTTTTGGAGGTCCGCAGGACGCAAGAATTCATTTCTAGCTGGGGTTATCACCACACATACTTGAGAAACCTGTATGCATCCAGCTAGGGGGCTTGGAAGTAGGGCTATGGGCCTGGTGATTACAAGAAGCCTTAAGTCATCCTCATTCGAACCTATGTGGTCAATTGAGATAATATGAGCCATAATCCAAACCGAACTCCTTGAAGGGCGTTATCTAGGGAAGTATTTTGGGGGTTATTAGGGGGGATACTGGGAGTAGCTCATATTTGCCAAGCCCAGAGCCTTGAAACCCGAAGCTTTCTGATTTTGAAAGGGAGTGTTCGGGGCATGGTGGGGGTTGCCTTGGGCCAAAACTGGCTTTTGGTTAGCTGGGAATGAAGGAATGAACAAGAAAATGGAAACTACTGTAATGGGATATATAGGGATTACTATAAGTATCCATGCCTTCATTCCTAGCTAACCAGAGGTTAGAAAAGTGTGCCGCTTGCAAAAGCTCACATGGGATCTTCAGAAAACAAGAGCAGTGGCCCAGTGACATACCATTATACCCCCACACAAAATAGTTCATATTACAGGAACCCCAGCAAAAGACCCCAAGACCTTACGGTTGCAAAGACTTTGCTTAGACACGTCAAGAACAAGCTCCTGGAGTGTAGGCAACGTTCCGCTCTGTGTCGCGTTCTGTTTAAGATGCATATTTTGGGATATTTCGTCTTCTGTTGAGCCAGTCTTGATGTTGTTCGGAAAGGATACCTGTTAACAGTACCCTAAACCCTGAACCCTAAACCCTAAACCCTGAACCCTGAACCCTAAACCCTAAACCCTGAACCCTAAACCCTACGTCCTATTCACATATTCGTACTTCCTTCCTGGCCAGGTGGACAGCTACCTATCCTTGCTGGAGGCCGGGCGGGGTCAGCGGAGCAGCGACTGCACCCAAACCTGAATCCCCAAACCATGTGGCGGGCCTATATGAGTTATAGTCCAAATTCCTTAAGGGGCTTATATAGGGGATTTCTTAGGGAAGTCTTATGGGGACTATGAAGGCGGATACCAGGAGTTAGACTGTAGCTCATATTGTCTGCAGGTACTGTAGGGGCCTAAAGAATGAATAGCATCATTTTGATGTCTATTTGAGGTGCCGGATACATCAAGGACGCCAATATTGGCAATTATTTTTGGCTGCTACACTACCTAAGTACCCCAGTACCTTCTTAAAGCTGAACATTAGGAAAAAGGGTACCATTACTGTGTACTGTATCATTAAGGGGTTCCTGGGGAACCTAGGCACATAGGCGACCGCTAAAAGGACATGAAAGGACCGCCATACTCAACGGCTGAAGATGAAAACTTCAGAATCCCAATGTGGAAACGTCCATGAAGGGAGGGTCCGAGGGTCCACACCCATTGAGGTAAGACCGGGGTTATATTAGGGGTACATTGGTGTAAGATTAGGATACATTGGGGTTATATGGGGTTATATTAGGGATGTCATAGGATGATTGGGGTCTTTATCAGGATCACGTGAGTCCTGCTTGTGGTTCCAAATGTGGATCTTCTTCCTCGAGATACGTGTAGTTGCAAAAGACGGAGAAGCTACCAAGCAATCTAGACAGAATACCCTATCCCCCCAAAACCCTCGACGCTAGACCAAACAGGCCAGAATGATCTTGACCCTAAAGCTTAAACCAGAAGTCCTAAACCCTACACTCCTGGAAACTAACATGGAAACCCAAAAGGGGCCCTATAAAGACTACAGTCCCTCTAAAATGGGGCTATATGGGTTTCCATGTTAGTTTGGGAGAGTGTAAACCCCTAAACCGAACCCTGCAGGCTCCTGAGATCACATCCGGGTGGCAGGACTTGCACAAAGGCCGCTGGAAGTTTCTGAAACAAAAAACATCTAGGGTTTAGGGTTTAGGGGGATCCCTACGTGCCCGTTGTAAGGGTTTTGGGTTTAAGATTCAGGGATGTCATCCGAATATTGGAGAATTAGTTGGACGATGAGATGGGAATGAAATGGAAACTGCGAATATGTGGGGATTATGTGAGCGAACGATGGATATCGGGTGTCTTTGGCAGTTCAGTATAACCGCCAATGCTTTCCCCGATAGGAACCCATGTAGGAATTGTCGGCTGTAGCTTTCATATCCTCGGGGTATCCAGGATACCGCCTCCCCCCCCCCCCCTTGGAGACACCGCCAAGTTTCACCCTAAACCCTAAAACTAAACCCTAAGCCCAGAGCTTGAGCTTGGACAGGGTCCTTGCCCCGTGTCTGGGCTTCTGCTGGGCTTCCACGCGGACCATCCATACCCTACCTACTGCATCCAATGTACTGGTAAGGAAATATCTTTCCGGCTTGAGGGTTTGCATAGGTTACTCTAGGTACGCCATTCTGAGCACCCACTTTGTATACAGAAGAGACCTGCCTTAAGATTAGGTATCCGGAAAGCGGGTGAGGGGTCTGGGTAAGGCGGTTCTGCACGGTGTGGAGCAAAGTCAAGTGTGCTACGATTTGTCAAAATTCAAACTTGGGTCCATGTGAGGGTTGCAGGTTTAGCGGGAGCTTGTGGCTTACGTGTTTGGTGTCTTTCTGCGACTCTTGTTGAGGGGTCCTTTATATGATTTCTGTGCAAGGTAGCGGTGTTGGTATTGCTAATGTTACCGGCACTGGTACTGAAAGTAGTAGTAGCAGGAGCAGGAGTCGGAGTAGTAGTAGTGGTAGTGGTAGCAGTCGCAATAGCACTAGCAGTAATAGTTGTAGTAGTTGTAGTAGGAATCGCACTAGGAGTCGTGGTGGTCGTAGTGCACCCCGTTCTGAATTAGGAATAATAGGGAGTATATAGTGCTCTGAGTGGGAGTAAGAGTAGGAGGGGGAGTAGTAGGAGGAGTAGAGTGGTGATGTTGATGATGCTGCAGAAAGCACGCCAGGCCCATTCAAGTTTGGTCGTCCACGCTACTATCCGCTCATACTGATACAGTACCGCACCTTGGCTTATGTATGGTTTACGGTTATTATAGTCCTCCTTAAGTAGATAGAATATGGCTTTGGGTATATTATTATAAGGTCCCCATATACCCAATATTCTATCTACTCAAGGGGAACTATAAGCCCCAAACCCTAAACCCTATATTCTATCTACTAAAGGGGGACTATAAGGGTTCAGGGTTTAGGATCCTCACCTCGGCGTATGGACGGAAGTCGAAGGTTTGGTTCACTTCGAGTCGAGGTTTCGAGGTTCTGTTTCACTGGCTGAGATTTGGGCCTTGCCTAAACCCAAACCCTAGGCCCTAAACCCCAAATTTTACTTTCCATTTGATTTTTCATTGTTCCTGTATAATCCTTGTAGAATTCTTATGTACCCCTTTAGAGGGCCCGACGAGCGCTCGAAACAAGGCTTGGGTTCTGCGCGGTTTATGCCGCAGACGAAGTTCGGGTTTGGGATTTAGGGTTTACGATGATTCATGCTTCAGCTAAACTATAGTCAAAACTCCTTAAAAGGGGTTATATAGGCTTTAGGGTTAGGGTCTAAACTCCTTAAAAGGGGTTATATAGGCTTTAGGGTTAGGGTCTAAACAGGCTGGACATGTTGGCTGCAGTTTGTACCATGTTAAATAAAGACCAACCCTAAACCCTAAACCTGAAAACCCGCCTAAAACAAGGTTTTAGGGTAGGGCTTGTAGTGCATTTGCCTCGTTTTTGGGAGGGGCCTTGAGCTTCAGGAGCAAGACTTCTGTAAGGAATATAAATGGGGGTTTCCTAAAAATTGGGGGTACCCTTTTTGGGAGCCCTATAATAAGGATTCTAATATTTTGGGGTCTACATTGGGGTCCCCCCATTTTGGGAATCTACCAAATAGGGCTTAGGGTTTAGGGGCTTTGTTTTCATTATTTTCTGGGCAATCAGACCACTCTCCCTTGGTTTAAGCACCCCTCGCTTTAAGAGAGCAGGTGGCTCTGGGGCCTGGGTTTTTGAAACACTACATTTTGTACATTTTATGTATAGGATGACTTCCAAGATCTTGAA